ATAAAAAAACACAACTACAAATAAAAAAACACAACTACAAATAAAAAACACAACTACAAATAAAAAACACAACTACAAATAAAAAAACCACAACTACAAATAAAAAACATAACTACAAATAAAAAACCACAACTACAAATAAAAAAACAAAACTACAAATTAAAAAACACACAATTACAAATTAAAAAACACACAATTACAAATAAAAAACACAACTACAAATAAAAAAACACACAACTACAAATAAAAAACACATAAAACTTCAAATAAAAAAACACAACTACAATTGAAAAAAAACACAACTACAAATAAAAAAACATAACTACAAATAAAAAATATAACTACAAATAAAAAAACACACAACTACAAATAAAAAACACACAAAACTACAAATAAAAAACCGCAACTACAATTGAAAAAAAAACACACAACTACAAATAAAAAACACATAAGTACAAATAAAAAAACACAACTACAAATAAAAAAACACAACTACAAATAAAAACCACAACTACAAATAAAAAAACACAACTACCAATAAAAACCACAACCACAAATAAAAAACACAACTACAAATAAAAAACACAACTACAAATTAAAAAATACACAATTACAATTAGGGCAGCACGGTGGCGCAACTGGTAGAGCTGCTGCCTCTCAGCGAGCAGGTCCCTGGTTCAAACCTCGGTCCAGGGGCCTTTCTGGGTGGAGTTTGCATGTTCTCTCCGTGCATGCGTGGGTTTTCTCCGGGTACTCCGGTTTCCTCCCACAGACCAAAAACATGCATGTTAGGCTGATTGGTAACTCTAAATTGTCCCTAGGTGTGAGTGAGGGAGTGAATGGTTGTTTGTCTCGTTTGTCTCTATGTGTCCCTGTGATGGACTGGAGACCCGTCCAGGGTGTACCCCGCCCCTCACACAGTGATTGCTGGACATGGGCACCAGCGACCCCCGTGACCCAAAATGGAATAAGCGGGTAAAGATAATGGATGGATGGATGGATGGACAATTACAATTAAAAAACACACAATTACAAATAAAAAAAACACATAATTACAAAAAAAATTGCAAAACCCTCCCCACAACTATAAATAAAAAAAACACACAAAAACATTAAAAAAACAAACAAACAACATTTGAAGAAACACAATTATATTACCATGTTTTTTGGACTATAAGGCACACTTAAAATCCTTTAATTTTATCAAAATCGACAGTGCGCCTTATGTATTAATTCTGGTTATACTTACTGGCCATGAACTGATTTTATGTGGTACACCGCGCTCAAAAATCTGTCAAAATGAACTCATTTTACTTAATGCGCCTTATAATCCAGTGCGCCTTATGCAAAACCAGAAGAGGCAGGACCAGTGGGAAACATGAGACATCACTGATTGGACGACGGGGCGTTTGAACCTCCCACCTTTCCCATCTCCGGTTTTGCTTAATGTAATTGTATTTTTTATAAATGTTGTGTTTTTAAATCTGTAGTTGTGGTTTAAACTTCAGGGCCACCGTAGGTTCTTGTGCGATGCCCTGATTTCTTTAGGGTCTCTGATACTTTGAGATGATTTTTAAGGGTAATGTGCTGATCTTTGATGAATGTTGCTACATTTTCAGTCAGAGGACCTCTCTGATTATTTGCCATTTTGAAATAATTTCTAGTTATCACAAGAGAATCAATTAAGTGTTTGAACTTATCTTGAGAACAATTGGGAGTAATCTAGAGATAAAAGTATTGAGTTATTTAATGAGAAACAATGAAAATAAACTTCCAAGATGTCCTCTTCTTCTGTATT